ATTAAAACAACGATAAAAATAAAATAAAAATAACAATAAAAATTAATTGGCGCTCCGGGGCGACTTCGTCGATTCCAGTGGCGCATTTGCTTTTTCAGCTGCATTGATAAAAAATAATTTATTTTTTATCAATGTCATCATTGTTCTGATGATGACATTAATCAACCCCTCGAAGGAAATACTTAGTTGTCCAGCAGACAGACTGCTGTCATCTGTAGAGGTGAGTAAAAATAATAGATGTTGTCTTTTAATTCGTTTTTATGAAAAGAAAGGGAATGTGATGATAAGAATTATTTGTGTCCAAGTCCATGTACTATTGTAATATACGGTAGATCCTTTTTTGTGTCAACAGTGTAGCATTTAAGGTTTTTATATATTTGCCACCAGAGAAATAATACTTAACTGTCTATCAATCCTTTGTAACCTTCTCGCTATTGCCGTGTTTGTTTTATTTAAATAAAATTTGGCAATTCCTAAACGGATGTAGGGTTCGTGCCGATCGCACGAAGGCCGGTCTTTTTGAAATCTGATCATATGGTATACCTACTTATATTCTCTCTTGTTATGTGGTTTCAGAACTGAATTTTAATCTTAGTTAAAATGTTTATCACTTACTATTCTCTTTTCGGTAGATTGACAAAAGTCTCTAATTTGTTTTTGTTCTCTTAACTTCATCTTACTCTACGAGAATGGTATTTTTCTCAGTCCAAGAGAAAATGAAAGTCCAAGGTTTCAAATATTAAGTATAATAAGAAGAACAACGACGCCATGGACGAACTAATAAAAAACAACGTGTAAAATCTTATATAAACAAAATGTTCAATTCTATCAAATAAAAGATAATAGAACAAATAATTCGCCGCCAATTTGACTGTGCTGTTCACTAATAATTTAACCTGTTGAACAACTACAAACGCATCAATTCAGTACAAAATACTTTCAGTTTTACTTTTACTTTAGGAAGAGTGGTGTGTAACTTCAAATCTGCGCCCTTTTTGTAATTGTAATATGAACTCTAGCCAAATAATCCTTTGCAAATAGGAAGTGAACTCAGACAAAATAATATGTGAAATCTCTCTCGATATCAACTGGTTAGTAAATAAAAAACAAACACTCACATAACGCCTCTCTGGGTGATTCATATGGTCAACACCAACAATTTTATTTTAAAATCCCCTGTACCCAATACCGGCTTACGATTTCACTACCGATTTTCCTTAAATTTCGCACCACGTGCTTAGACAAAATAACTCCTCTATTGAGGTCACCTTCCTCAGCCTAGAAAGCTGAGGGACGAGACCTCCGATCTCGTCTCGACGGACTCCGGTAACTGACTATTCGTGTCTCTAGAAACTCTCAGGCCCTCGCGTCAGCAACGCTAGCCACAAAAACCTCATCTCAGCGTTTTTAACCTTCCCAAGCGTATGATCATCGGCAGGATGTAATATATTCATTTGTTTAGTCTACCCCAACTTGAACATGACCACAACGACGCTCGAACGTCAGACATTCATGAAGTAGTTCAGGGCTTTTTCAACTGGAAAAATATCGATACCGAAAAAACGGCTGATCGACCGCGATCTCTATGAAGTAAATAATATTTTACGTTAATCATCGCAATGGCAGTTATTACACTATTTATTGGTTTGTATTGGAACCCACTCATTTGTCATATGTCTGTCTCACACCTTTTTGTGACAGCCCGGGGTTTTTAAATGAATGAAAATGAAGACAGTGTCCAACGATTCGTGTCTTAATGAATACTTCAACATTTTTGAAGAGGGAGCTCCAACATACTTCTTTCTTGCAGTTAAACAGTGGCTCAATGATAGATTTCTTGGCAGATCGATTGGTCGAAAAGGAGCAATGAAATGGCCACCACGATCACCCGACTTATCGCCTTTCGATTTCGTCCTATGGGGCCATCTAAAATTGATTGTTTGTAAAACACAGTCACGAGATTTGGAAGATTTGAAGAGAAGAATAATCGCTGCGCGTAGAGAACACTTTTCGGAATGTTAGAGAGGACTTTAAGAGCAATATTCAGTGTGAATTGATATATCGGGAATTTATTATTCATCTGCAGAACTTCGTGAAAGTCTTTCATCGCGGGGGTTCTATGGAGTAGTTGTTTTCTGATAGGTGTCAGTCCAATAACCTACTGTGTAGGGTGTTGAGACTGGCCTGAACGAATTGTTCCTTTAGATGATTTAAAATAATATGTGAAATCTCTCTCGATATCAACTGGTCGGTAAATAAAAAACAAACACTCACATAACGCCTCTCTGGGTGGTTCATATGGTCAACCGTAGGTTCCGTTGAACCGGTGTATCTTCAACACCAACAATTTTATTTTAAACTCCCCTGTACCCGATACCGGCTTACGATTTCACTACCGATTTTCCACCACGTTCTTAGACAAAATAACTCCTCTATTTAGGTCACCTTCCTCAGCCTCGAAGGCTGAGGGACGAGACCTCCGATCTCGTCTCGACTGACTATTCGTGTCTCTAGAAACTCTCAGGCCCTCGCGTCAGCAACGCTAGCCACAAAAACCTCATCTCAGTGTTTTTAACCTTCCCAAGCGTATGATCATCGGCAGGATGTAATATATTCATTTGTTTAGTCTAGCCCAACTTGAACATGACCACAACGACGCTCGAACGTCAGACATTCATGAAGTAGTTCAGGGCTTTTTCAACTGGAAAAATATCGATACCGAAAAAACGGCTGATCGACCTCGATCTCTATGAAGTAAATAATATTTTACGTTAATCATCGCAATGGCAGTTATTACACTATTTATTGGTTTGTATTGGAACCCACCTCATTTGTCATATGTCTGTCTCACACCTTTTTGTGACAGCCCGGGGTTTTTAAATGAATGAAAATGAAGACAGTGTCCAACGATTCGTGTCTTAATGAATACTTCAACATTTTTGAAGAGGGAGCTCCAACACACTTCTTTCTTCCAGTTAAACAGTGGCTCAATGCTAGATTTCTTGGCAGATCGATTGGTCGAAAAGGAGCAATGAAATGGCTACCACGATCACCCAACTTATCGCCTTTCGATTTCGTCCTATGGGGCCATCTAAAATTGATTGTTTGTAAAACACAGTTACGAGATTTGGAAGATTTGAAGAGAAGAATAATCGCTGCGCGTAGAGAACACTTTTCGGAATGTTAGAGAGGACTTTAAGAGCAATATTCAGTGTGAATTGATATATCGGGCATTTATTATTCATCTGCAGACCTCCGTGAAAGTCTTTCATCGCGGGAGTGCTAACGTAGTATATATTTTTTCTAATTCAGTGTTCTTGTTTGATATCTGAATTTGTTTTATATATACAAAATGTTCTACTATAGTAAATATATTATTTTAGATTGTAAACAATAAGTAGATGACGGATGCTTGCCGTTTTAGGGCGATTGCAATATGAAGAGAGGAGATGTTAGTTAATTAACAATGGATGGGTCAAGAGGATGGCAAAAATCAAGAATTTATGGAAGATGATGAACGCGAAGATTTCGAAAGTGATGCTGCCAGTGAACATAGTGAACACAATAGTGATTCGGAATAATTTGATCAAGATGTTGACATGAGAGATTGACGAAAATCTTGCATATAGTTCTATACATCATTTTACTGGTAAAAACAACATAAATATTTCAGATAGTTACTTTTTTTTGATAATTGGTCTACTTCAGCTTATGTTCACATACTTTGTATATAGTTAAATTTGATAGATATATACACGGTGTTTCTTTTTGTTGTGTTCACATCGTTACACAAGTTTATTTTTGATGTTCACACTATACTGGCAGTTTTATTTTTAGATTGCATTATAAAATAAACACTTTAACATTACATATGTTCTCGTTTTATTCCCAAAAAACACATAAACCATAACTTTGATATAATCGTTGTATGAGAGAAATCCTCACACGCGAGTGCTCGCGTTATTTTCTGAGTCGCGAGTGATGTAGGGATAAACTTGATTTCTCCAATAGTACTAAGTGGTATTTTTGAAAAAACTGCTGAACGACCCTCAAAATAAGGTATGAGGTCATCCATAAATCAAGTCACACCCCCTAGTGTGACGTCACATATTTCACATCTAGAAATAATTATTGAATTAAAACAGCAGTTATAAAATTTGCTTTATCTCAATTTAAATTATTTTTCAATAAAATTAATATCGAATCAAACATTTCAAGAAATGAACAAAACAAAAAAGAATTATTATATTAATTGAAGATCAAACTTGGGTATCTTGAGTCCATGGACTTGGTCCATGGAAATTGTCATATTTCAATACAACACCAGTAAGTTCGCGACTAAGAGGCGTCATTCGTCGTTCCACTTTGTTGAAAGCACTTTTTCCTGGAGCATTTGTGGCAATGTAAACAGCATCCAAGTCAAATTCTTAAAAATATTAATAGATGTTGACAGATCGCAAGTAAAAATAAAAGCTGGTTTTACAAAACCTTCTCGAATTCTTTTTTAGAAAGTAGGCATTTCAGAAAGTCTATAAATGTCTTTGGTATGAGTCTCTGCATTCTGTTTAAAATCAGTTTTTCCGTTAATCAGCTGTCGTCCCCATACGAACGACAACTCTCAGAAGTTGAGAAACTTGTGCGAGCTAAGTACTAACGAGGTCTTACCTTTAAACGTGTGATTCCTGACACTGCGAGAAGAGGAATGCTTTCCACTACGAATTGCCACGTATGTAGGCTCAGAATGTGTCACAAATTCAGGTTTCCCTTCACTATTTTTCTTTATAACAGTACTTGCATAAACAGAGGGATTAAGTTTATGTTTTTTTGCGACCATGAAATTATGCGATAGTTTTACACGGTAATCGAGGTGCATTAATATCAACACTTAGATTATAATATATTTTGAAATGTGACGTCGCGAAATTTAGTACCCCTCCCAGCCCCTTGTCACACAATGTAACACCTCGTCGACCCCCTCCCTTCTCCTCATCGTGTGACGTAATTTATGGATGCCCATTATCACCCTTTCCATATAAGATTTTAGGAGCTGTGTCTGCCCCTGTTAGAGAGTTTATGCAATTCAATTAAAAACTAGCCTACAAAATTTCCCCCTTGAAATGAGTTCTCCGTGTTTTTCCAGGTGTCGAAATATAGAATGGTACGTTTTTCAAATTAACAAATTGTTACCAATGCGAAGCCGGTCGGCTCGCTAGCTCTGTATAAACGATTCGTCAACGAAGTTGTCATCATCAAGAAAATTGCAATTCATGTGTGATATCTAATATTAAAATAATATTGAAATTTGGCACAATCTAGGCAAATACCCAAAAATATATTTTCAAGTGTAACTTACCTTACTTCCCATGTCACCCAACGCGTCAGCAGCTCTGTCAGTCGGGTCGTCTTTCGAGGAATGTAAGAATGAATGTACAATATGTCCGCAAAATTCTACTCCAATTCCAACACTCTGAAAAATAGTTTTTATAGAAATTTCAACTTCATGATTTATATCAGATTGAGATTCTCAACATCAAGTCATTCCAATTCAAAATTGGGTTGAGTTTATCTCCGATAACTGGGTATTACGACTGCGTAAAGCGTATTCATGGTATGCTGACACCTGTATTTGGATTAGGTAAATTGTCAATAATATTCGTTGACCCTTTTCTATCTGTCGTCATGAGGTTTGCTATTCTTGAACTTCCTAGTATGGGATTTCATATTCGGTTCTTCTTTCATGCTGTAATTATCCGTGTGTTTGTGGATCTATATTGCCTCCCGTACCAGTTGGCTATGGTATCCCTGGTTGTGGGCAGTGGGTTCCGTGTTTAATTTCTTTCATGAAAAAAACTGCAGACCAGGCCAAACAGACAAATCGGCTGGGGCGGAATACGCACTCAGTGAAGGAAATCACAGGATTCTGTTTGAAAACACGAAGCTCATTTCCCCCAATCTGGGATACCATAGCCGACTGGTACATCAAAAATTACAACAGGAATGTGGAATCCCATTGTAAGGAGTTCAAGAATAGAAAATATAACGGCAGGTATAAAAGGGTCAACGAATATTATTGACAATTTAGCCAATACAGATACAAGTATCAGCACACGAAACTACCTGGGTCAACATATACGCTTCACGCCAGTCATCATATATATACTCATGATATATAAACCTCTGAAGGTGCTAGCCACTAGTGTCAGCGAAACGTCAGGAAGACATTTCAAAAATCGACGGCCTGAAATTTCAAACCCGAAAAATAGTGATACTAAAATAATGAAGAGTTACGTAGTCATTTAGATCATTAGCCAGCGAAGTCTTTTACAAAGAACTGTGGACTGATTGATTTACTCTTTCCACTGAACTAGGTACCGTACTTTGAAAATATGATTTCGATTCTAACATGTCGAACAGTTCTCCTTGAAATCATTTCTATATTAGTACTGCATGCCAGGTGATATGCCATTTGTGGAAATTAGAGTCCGTCCTATTGACGGCCTTATACTTGAGTTCGTGTATCCGTGCCAAAGGGATGTATGATTCTGAGCCCACTCAGTGTTACTAACGGATCCTTGGAGATATCGAACACCATCTTGTCGTAGAACACCTTGTCATGGTAATGTGGGATTTTTCGTGATGGTTCTTCTTTTCCTAACTACTCGTGGGACCTTTTATGGACCATGGAGCAACCAAAGAATCCGACTCTGTAAGCAAATGCTTACGCTCAAACCATGATTCACTCGAACCAGAGGTCGAAACGCTCTGCATGGCTGAACCTCATAAATTGTTAGGTATAGTTGATTTACAGATGCAATCATATGTGAAGGTTGCTGTGATTATCAAGGTGTGAATCTTGTATCTCAATCAACTAGAATTTCTTCAGGGCTGCGATAGAGGATATTGCAGAAGATGGTATGCAGGTACGACACTACAGAGCTGTTAAATTACAGCCTGGATGACTACTGGTTAATTTAAAGGACCAGGAAAAGCTTTCCTGGTCCTTTAAGGTAACCAGCTTACCTGGTAGGTAAGCAATAAATGTGTCGCTGCCCATGCGACAGGTAAGCAATAAATGTGTCGCTGCCCAAGCGACACATTTATTGCTTACCTATCTGACGAAGGTGTCCCAGATTATTCGTCAATCAGGTCCTCATTAGATTGGGGAAACCCAACTACTCCTTGGTATGTCAACCTTGGAGTAGATTATTATCATGGGTAAATTCAGGCCCTGGTAGAGCATTTACTATTTCGCCGCGGACCTGATCAGATTTTTAGTGTTTGTTGGCAAAGTCCCACTCTTGCCAGCTGACGTGAAAAATCACTCACAAAATAAAGTAATCGGTTTTATTAGGAAGCTACAAACACTCGCGAGTTATAGTGAAGGGTCGAAAAAACCCACACACCTTGGTCATACCTACTTATCTCAGTACCTACAATGCTTTTTATACTCACCATGACTAGATTCACAAGAGAAATAGCATTCAGTGATATATTCCATGCCCACATCAGCCCCATCATATGTACGATTATCATAATCACAGTGACAGTAACAGCCGCAGAAGAAAAAATGCTGAATCCAGTGAAGATCATGTGCGTTACAAAAACACCCAACAATGCATACGCCAAGGACTCCAGAGTGTCAGCCCATATCGTTAGGTATTGTTCGTAGAATACGTAAAAAACCCTGAGGAATATTGAAAATTTGTTGTAAAAATAACGAGGAAAACTAGATGTACGATACAAGAAACTTCAAAGACAAATCTGAATAGTTTTTTGGCACTTTCTTCGTACAGAAAATTAATTTTCATGCAGTAGCTCCAGCTCACAGATGTGCTAGAGTTTTCATTAAAAGTGCACCTACTTTGACATTATTCAAAATTATTAAATATGTTAGTATACCTAGCTTGAATGGATTTTTTTATATGCTTTTTTCGTATGAGGTGTATCATATAACGAATAATATAAAATTTGTAATTGTTTGATGGAGAATAAATAATTATAAAAAATTATTAGAGATGAATGGGCGTAGTGGTGGAGTACCTGGATTCAATCTTGGGGTCTTGATTTTGAGTTCGGCTCCGGACAGCTATTTTTCTCGTGAACATTTATCTAGTTATAGTTGTATTGATTATGTCGCGTTACATGGTTAACGGAACTGCTAGAAGTCACTCAGGAAGTTATCAACATAAATTTCACCGATTACAAGCTAATGGTTACACTAGTCGATGCCGTTTGACAGGAGAGAAAAAAATTATCATAATTACAAGTGCAACTTCTTTAACAATTATCAAAGTGATTTTAAAGCTTTGTTTTTTGTTGCATTCGAGTTGCTGAAGGCTTATTTCCCAAAAAAGGTTTCAGTACCCAAATGAATAATTCCAATGCACCACTAAATATAACTGTGTTATATTTATCAATAAATTTGTTTGGTTCATCAACTTTTTGATTCGTGGCCGTCCAAAGTAAATCCTCACTACCGTAAAATGGGGTTGCCCAGCCCACTAGGACAACTTAGACCAAGTTGAAGACTAACTTTCTTATTTGGTATTGATAAAGTTTCAAACACCAACGTCATTCGGATCGGAATAAACGCTGCCGCTGTCTGTTGAAAAAATACGGTGAATTTTCATCTTTTCAAAAAACTATTTATTCATCCATCATTTTTTATTTCGTCCCCTTCAAAGGTATGACACTGTGCCAGCGTTTTTCTCAATCCTCAAAGCAGTTCTCATATGCTCTTTTTGGTATATCTTTGAGCTCTAAGCGGTTCGGATATTAGGTATCTTCTCAATCTGGGGCCAAATCTGGTGAGTGAGGCATGATTACGGTGTTGTTTTTAGGGGAAAAAATACGAACAAGCAATGACGAGTGGGCAGGTGCAAAATCATGATGCAGAAGCCATGGATTGATTTTCCACAATACCGGACGTTTTCTTCGTATTGCTTCTAGAAAGCGGCGCATAACATCAAGAGAAGACTCTTTTGTGACCGTTCGACTATGTGGCAAGAACTACGCTACGACGGAAATCGAAGAAAACAGTAAGCAAAACCTCGACATTTGATCAAATTTGGCGTGCTTTTTTGGTTTAGGCTCTCCTGGGCTCTTCCATGGAGACGATTGGACTTTGGTTTTGATGTCATAGTCATATCACTGCTCCGGAACAACAATGACATGCAAAATTTTGCGAAATGGACTTAAGTGCATAGAGAAGTCCAGATACTTCACCCGCATTCGAAGGAACTGTAGAAGCCACTGTTGAATTATCAGCTGATCGTCCAATCACTTCAGAGGAAGTTGTGCAATAGACACAGATGGTGGCCTTACGATTTCGGTGGAATAGTGACCTATATGTAGTTTAGAACAAAAAGTTGACGGCTCCATCGCACATTTTCAAGGCAACATTGACGTAAGTGTTCATTGTGTCGTTGTTCTTCTGAGTGAGACACGCATGTTTTTCGAAGTAAGTTTCATTATTGTAGCACTAAACAATTTTTGGGTAGTGTGACATACAGATGCGTCCTGTCTGGGTCAATGATCCTTATGGTCAAAACAATAATTTTTATTAATAATATTATTTTGCTACTTACAATCGTCAATAATTACAGGGTCTAATAAAATGAGTGAACGTACTAAGATAAATATGAACCTCATAAATCTAAAGCTGAAAGGCGAGACCTGCATTGCCGCACAACGAACCAGACTAACTAAAAAGCCTAGAGTGTTTGAGGAAAAAACAATTTAACTCGGGAAAATGCAGAAGAAATGATTGAAAATCATGGACTGATTAAAATATACAACGATTCACCTCCCAAAAATATTGATGTTGTGTGTGAACAAGAGGAAAACAAAAACTCAATTCAAGGAAATGTAGAAGTAATGAATAGTAATGTTTCTGTACCTGAAGAAATTATTCAAAATCGTAGACTGGCAGAGAAAAACAATAATTCATTTCATTTGTTTTTATTTTTTTTGTTCATCTGTCTTAAAACTGTTTTCATGTTTCACAAACTACACTTAAACGATTTGATCTCCACTAACTTTATTGAAAATAATCATAACATGTTTCGCTAAAACATTAGCTTTTTCAAATGATTAATACATCCAAGCATCCTTACATTCATATTTATATACTACAGGTAACCACAATCGAGACTACCTGTAAGAAATTACCTGAATCTCTACATCACATACCTGCTCGATTATGCTTACCTAAAGCAAATTGCCTACCATCTACATCAATAATAATTCTTTATGGGTTTTTAAGAAAACAAGTTCAATAATGGTGATCTATTCAAATCTAATTGGTCATTCATTAGAATATTTGAATTTTTAAGTTTATTAATTTCCATTGCTTCTAAATGATTCAGTTTGAAACCTTTATTTTCAATGTGCAAAATTTCGAATTCTTCATTAAAGATGTGATTTTCTTCTAGAAGATGATTTGAATACGTTGAATTTGTTTTCTTGTTTACATAGCTCTTATGATGTTCCTGGATTCGATTCCTAAATGTCCTGCCAGTTTGACCAATATATACCTTAGGGCACGTTCCACACTTTAATTNCCAGTGGCGCATTTGCTTTTTCAGCTGCAGGAAAACCCGCAAAAACCTGCAGCACCACATCATCTGAAGATCTTGACCTAACAATGTCCTCTCTTTTATAAAACAAAATGTAGGGTGTCTCCAGAGGCTCCAATAAATTCAATGCATCGCCAGAACACTTCGTGACACGATAATTCGAAGATATTTTGTAAACATTATTAACAATACTTTTCATTCTTGGACCTTATTTTTGAATCAGTTGAAATTCCACATCGAAAAAAAATCCAGATGTCTCTTTCTTTATTTACCTTTCAAAACAGAGAGAGATATCCTATTTTTCGTTAGAGGTGAGAGTTCAGCTGAGTTGAAAATAAGGTCTCTGGCAGTATGCGTAGAAAAATATTTCTTGTATTTTGTTGATGCGATTTTATTTTACTCTTTCCTTTTCTCACATCATTATCTGCAGCTTTCAATCTTTAGGACTTTCTCGATTCTTTACCTTGCTCTTTCCATCTTTCTTTGCTTTTGCTACAATGTTGTAGACTGTTGAGTATAGTCGGTAGTAACTCCCTACCGACTCTGTCTCATTTATGTTTCGACTTATGATTGCTCGAGAACCATTCACTGTAATCTTTGCTAATTCCAATAGTTTTGTCGAAATGTTTAGTTTTTTATTTTCCTTTATTAATTTTTTTCTTTCTATACAATTGAAATCTTTGAAGGGGTTGTCTATATTGTGGTCATGAGCTTGTCAATGTTTATGTGAATGGCATCTATAATTGATCTCCCTAAATCCTAGTTGGTGTTTTAGAGTTTCTCATTCCTGTGGTGTCACAGATGAGTAAAATTTGCAGATGGGAAACTCCCCACCTTTCCTTTGGAGTTGAAGGTTGCCGCTTCGTTCACTAGGACATTCAAATTTTTATTATTTTCTGGAACTATTCTCAAAGTTTCATTATTATATTTCATCACACAATAAATTTTGCAGTCTAAGAAACAATTTATGGCAACAATTTATTCAAATGCCCACAAACCAATATACCATCAAAAGTTCCTCAATTTCTATACAAAATACTAGAAAAACAACACAGTGTCTTTACCTCGGTTACTTTGGCAATAAAGTTCAGCAATATTTCGTATTTTCTATTTTCTTTCCCGAAACAGTGAAAAATGTATTTTGAAGGCATCAATTTGAAATGACGAAAATTATAGAAAACAGTGGAAACTAATTGAAAAATCCGAGCAGGGGGCGGTATACCTCCATCAACATTTCAATCAGACACCCTGCCACCTTAATATTTTGTTATAGTGTTAACAAAAGGAAACGAAGAAATATAGCAGTGACGAAATCAAAAAACCGGCCGTCGGAGGCGGTACAAATCCACCAATATTTTTATTTCTATGTATTTCTATCTATGTATTTCTGTGTTTCCATTTCGTAACACAGTACCAAAATATGAAGGTGGCAGGGTCTCTAATAAAAATATTGCTTGATCTGTACCGCCCCCGACGACCGGTTTTTTTATTTCACGTCTGACATATTTCTTCATTTCCAGTTGTGACCACTATACCAAAATATGAAGGTGGCAGAGTCTCTAATAAAAATATTGCTTCATCTGTACCGCCCCCGACGGCCGGTTTTTTTATTTCACTTTCACCTCTGTTATATTTCTTTATTTCCAGTTATGACCACTATACCAAAATATGAAGGTGGCAGAGTCTCTAATAAAAATATTGCTTCATCTGTACCGCCCCGACGGCCGGTTTTTTGATTTCACCTCTGCCATATTTCTTTATTTCCAGTTGTGACCGCTATACCAAAATATGAAGGTGGCAGAGTCTCTAATAAAAATATTGCTTCATCTGTAATTTCCGTCATTTCAAATATTCATGATGCCTTCAAAATACATTTTTTAATGTTTCGTGAAAGAGAATAGAAAATATGAAATATTGTTGAACTTTATTGCCAAAGTAAACGAGGTAGTGTCTTTTTAAATCTGCATATATTTTGGAGAAATTAGTAGCGATTTCCATTGATGAAACTGATGAATATTTCGTGTATTTCTATTCTAAACTAAGGTATTGTTATTTATAATTGGTAACCAGAAAGAATAAAAGTACAAAATCTCTATGGAGTTCAAAAACAAATTGAAAAAAACATTTTTGGAGAAATAAACTCTCACTATTGAAGAAAAAAATGTTTGTCATGTTTTGTTCGTCTTTCATTTGTTTTGAATTCTGTTGAAATTCCCAATATAAATAGATTTGTTTCTTGAGGTGAATAAAGAAACAGTTCAAGTTGAATAAAATGAATGTAGGTGGCACAGAAATGTCAAAATATTACTGAGAAAAATTGTTTTAGATGAGAAATTCTGGCTTTATAAAAAATTATAAAGATCGAAAAATATACCGAGCGTCTTAACACTTAAAATATCAAGTATGGGGTATCATTAAATTCAGAAAATTGTGTAGATTTCAAAAATGTAATAATATACAGGGTGTTATTTGAAAATTTAACGTTGATAAGATTTCCGGAAAAATCGGAAGATGAAAGAAATCTCACATTACGTCAAAAATTGCCTCTTTGTAAGCATAATCAATATTAATAGTTCCGTAAAAATAGGTGAAAGAATAAAGAAAAAAAGAGGGGTGTACCATAAGTCTGCGTCACACGGTATATATGTATGTTTCATAATAGCCTGATTTATATCTACACCCAGAAATTGAGTGTGCAGCATGTTTAGGTCGTTTCCTACATAAACATTCAATGTTTATGGGGAAATCACAAATGAAATCGAATGAGTTGATAGGGGTCAATGAAAACATAAAACGGACAAAAAGTTTCTATTTTGTTTCACTCTGTAATCATTATTTCTTACCCGTAAGGAAATATTTCAACACCTGGAATGTCGATGGTTTTTGTCAAATTTTCTGCAATGTGTCTGGCGTATTTCAACGCTCCTATAAAGTCTGAAGAATTTTTCGCTACGGTGTGATATGACATAACATAGGATGCTATTACGGTAGAAAGGCCATTTTCATCAGTGATGTAGTTAATCCCCTGAAAGCATTAATATATTTGATTTATTTCTGTGCATTATACTTTATATTCAACTTAGGTCAAAAAAATTTATATGAAAAAAAATAATTAAAGCTGTATACATCATATATAGTCATATATCTGTAGAGTAAATTACTGTCGGAGGAATTTTTTACAAGACCTTCATTTTGTAGTGGAGAACAATCATGTACAACTTAATTTGGTCGCTTTCTCAACCTGTAAGAATGAATATTTCTAGAGCGACATGAATATACGAAACCACTCAACCCAGGCATTCCTTCCTTAAGGAAATTAATTTTGTAGGTAGGTTTCAAATGCACCAGAACACTGAACTTCGCTAGTTTCCAAAGAAGTTTGAAGACCTTTGTGATTTTGAAGAACTCTGCTGCTCTAGGCAAGAACTATCAACGTTTTCACCTCATTGTGTATAGGAGGTAGATTTTGGATGTCTGCTTGGAAGCCTTAACATGGTCGGGTAGGAGTCAAAACATAAAAAGTGATCTTCAAGATTTACTCAACCTCCTTGCCTTCTGCAGTTTACTGTGACCGTTGTTAGTGTCCATAAAAGAAAACGTTGCGGTGACTACGGAAGTAGACGGAATTATCTTGTACCATCTGTTTACCGGAGATATTTATAGAAGAAATACATTATCTTTGAGGTAACTACAGTGAAGAACTGAGGTGAATTTGAGTATAAACTCCCGACGAATCTAGTCAAGAATTTAATTACCTCGGACTTCCAATGTTTAATATTATATAAGATGATTTGAAGTCCCTGAAATAACTGAAAGAGAAGAATTAAAAATGAATAGCTGAAAATAACAAATATATCAAGCAAAAAACCCTACAATGAAATTACAATGAAATAAAATACTAGTACAACTAATGAGATTTTCCATGAAACATTGTCAATTACCTTCAAACAAACGAATCTAGTCAAGTTATTGCTTAAAATATTTCTGAAATTTATAATTACCGTTTTTTTAACTTCAACACCCAACCTCGGTTTTTACAAATGGTCACATAAAAGTTCGAATAATAGGCTCAACAAATTAAAACCGATTTTTTCCTCTACAACCTTTAGCCCTCCTACTGATAAGGCAACACAAAATAATCCGCCATTAGACAAAAAAAACTAACTCTATAACAATAACGAATGAACCTCAGAAAACAGCAATGCATCTATGAAATCCTCTAGAATTCATTCTTTCGTAACTGAGAAATATATAATAGTATTTAGTATCATCAGCAAATAATTTGATTAAACCAATCAATTTCAAATTGGCTAGAGAATTAATATAGATGAGAAAACAAACAGGAACAAGGATGTTTCTATCGAAAAATAGACATCTTTTCTTTAACAATATAAATCAACATTCAACAAATGATTTCGTATTCCCTATACTTAGGTCAACTATAACTGAAAAAACTCCTCATTACATGTCAATGGAGCTGTATAATAAACTGCCTAATCGAATCATGCATTTGAGGACCATAAATAGATCTAAATAAATATAGTTTATAAAATAAAAAACACGCTTTTAAAGAACATCGAACTAAAAAGGTAGAAATATTTTTTTAAATAAGCTTAAAACAATAACGAACGAAAAATACTATTGTTATTGTGAAAAAGTTTGATATACAAAAAATATGACAAAGCGCTCACACTTTTTTTACTAGTATTTTTCGTTCGTTATTGTTTGAAGCTTATTTGAAAAAATATTTTTAACTTTTTAGTTCGATTTTCTTTAAAATTTTGCTTTTTATTTATTTTAACTATATTTATTTTTCATTTTTTAGTTTCGTATGCTATGCTAGTCTTTTCAAACTATAATTATTTTATCTCAACTTTGAGATCAATCAGCCGTATATTGTTTAGAAAAATGACCTTTGATATTTTCCGATTCCGGCGAGGGAGCCAAAATCAGCTACCAAGCCCAAGACAGCAGGCGCGCAAAGGAGGGTTACGTGTTAATAAAAAAAATCATTTTTTCAAATGAAGAAAGACATGTAAAATGAGTTCGAATTATGTCAAGGACGATACGTACAGCGCCATCTGCCCGCGAATAGATCAAGCAATAATGTCGATAATTAATTAATAGATTCAGAACTATATAGTATTTGCAATTATTCAAACCAAACGGAATTATAGAAATGTATATAGTGATGAGTAGGCATGAGTATATGTGATGGTATGTAAGTATGCCAGTAGATTCACATAATTTTTTTTGACATCATTCCATTCTACTAGTATGTTGTTTGTGTACAAGCTGTAATAGTCGTCATATTTTTGAAATGAAAATTATCATTACTATTATTATTGTTATTATTATTGTCTTGGGATCAAATGGTTCAACGCCGTTCGAAATACTACATCTGTCAACACTACATTGCTTAGTGAATTTTTGGAAATGAACAGTACTATAACGATGATCCAGCCTCCTTATTCGCTAGACTTGGTCCCGTTTAACTTTTTTCTAGCTCTCAAAATGGATGGCCGTCGTTTTTTAAGCATAGATAATATTGAAAGCGCCGCGCCGAAAGAGCTGAAGGTTATCTCAATAATCAAGTTTATGTTTCGAGGATTTGAAAAAGCGCTGGCACAAATGGAAGACTATTTTGAAGGCGACAACATTAATGCAGAAGAATAGAAGAATATATACGAAAATTCATGAACAGATAGACATTAAAAATTATAATGAAAACACATGGGTCATGATCAGTCAATAGATACAGACCGCACTCATTCCATTCGCAACAAATCTTACCCCTGAGTAAGGAGCATGCCCTCCTTTGGAACAACTCGGATCGGGATTGTCGTTGAGGAAATGAGGAAGATATCTCTTGAAATATTCGTACTGAGTCATATTTCCCATCGAATCATAATTACAAAGGTCGCAGTTATCTGAGCCATAAGTGTGGGGGCAAAAATATCCATTCGATTTGAAATATTTGCAGCAACTGTCGCTTTCTCCCCATTCCTTGAAATCGTCCAACCAGGAACTTGCCTGAACTGACAAGTATGTGCTGAAACGAACAATTGTTTTCGATTCAAAGCCAATTTTATGAAGTAAAATGCTTTAAAAAATGTTGATATCACTTGGATGTGAAATTATTCGAAATCTAGTAGTAAAAATATTTCCTTCGATAAGTGGAGGGTGGCAATTTTTTTAAAAGTTCAGGAATAGCATTGAATACTTTAGCTATCTGGTAACTGAAAGAGCCGTTGAATAACTGGGTTGTGAAAATGGGTGGTGTTGGAGAGCCTTTGAACCTGATGTTAATATTATGAATATCGGTTCGAAACGTCACTTTCTTAGGCAAGTACGAAGGGATTTTATATAAGAGAATCTAATGAGAGAGGCAGGCAGCATGGTGTTTTGTTCTATTCTCCATATTTAACCATCCAACTTCCTTGAGCTTGTGAGATATTCTGTTTCTTCCTCTTACTCCATATATAAGTCTCAAACAAGAATTCTGGACTTTCTGAATTTTTTGTTCATAGTGACTTGTCAGTATCTGCAAAATTCAATTGTGCTAGTACTAAACTATCACACAACATTTTTCAATTCTATTGATAAGCAGTGCCTTTCACCATATATCAGTTTGAGGGAGGCATAGGCTCAATGAATGAGTTTGTTGATGTGTTTTTCAAACCGAATATTAGAATCAAATAAAACGTCAAGGTTTCTAGCTTCATCAATAACATGAAGTGTATCTGTATTTACCTATGTGAATTTCAACTGAATTGATGATTTGACTCCTATTGATTTTTGAACCGAAAATGATAACTTTAGATTTTTCAGTGTTTCTAAAAAACGAGTGAAATTGTTAGTTCAATAAAGTGTCTAATATCAAAGTCTATGATTCCGCAGGCTTCTTTGACATCTTCTGGATAAAAACTGTGATACAATTGAGTGTCGTCTGCAAAAAGATGTACATTACAGGTTTCAAGTTTCCTTAACAAGGTTGACGAGTAAATAGTAAAAAGCAATGGACCCAAAACTGTTCCTTGTGGCACTCCGGACTTCAGTTCCAGATTAATCGACACTTGAGAATCCAACCAAACGTGCTGCTTTCTACCTTCCAGATGATGGCCCATAAGTTTGAGAGCGTTATCAGATATATCCATATAATGAAATATATTTAGTAGGAGTTTATGATTCGAGGAGAATCAATATTGTGCACTTATCCTGATCCGTTGCTCTCATTAGGTCATCACTAATATGTAAGAAGTTGTACAACTATGACCTTTTCTGAATCTAGACTGTATATTTGGCACCAATGAGTTTCTCTCAAGATACTCTCTTAACTGTAATTCCATTGCCTTTTCCAAAACTTTTGATAATGTTGACAGAATACTGATTCCACGCAAGTCTCTGAATTCAGTAATATTACTTTTTTTCGGCAATCCTGGGGCAATCGAAAATGGTCTTGGTATCTTGTTTCATGGTGGTGAATCTACTCACTTGTTAAAAACAATTCTCTATTTTTATATACGTGTGAAATTGATTCTTAACAAAGAAAAGCTTGGTGTGGTTCCTGAGATCGTCTTCAGCCATTTCTATGAGTTTTTTTGACAGCAGAAGACATTCAGTGCAGAAGAACTCGTACCCCAAATTATTGAACCATATGAAAAATGACAATGAACCAAACTATAGTGGGCAATTTCAAGAACATCAAATGAGACAAGATTCATCATTCTCCTGAAAGCATATCTTGACTTTTTTACAGAGTTTGTCAGTGTGACACCTATTTCAGTTAATTATATATTTTAAACTCAAACAATTTAACATTGAATTGACCTTCTAGTACTACTTTTTTGTGAGTTTTAATTTTTAATCAAGCCGAGTATGTGGAGTATTTCCCATTTTTGACATCACGTCTTTTGAATCTTTATCAATTACTTGGGTTTTACTACAGGACAGAGAGAAATACATTGTTATAGAGAGAGTCTGACAAATCGCATAAACGGTTTATAAAGAACAGCGGGGCGGTATAGGTCCTTGGAGTACACCATACTCAAGGTTAGAAGCTGTTCCTCTAACTCCATATTTCAGAAGTTTCTTCAAAGGTTTCTCTTTGTCATTCAAAATGAAAGAAAGCTGAAATGATAAGCTGTACTTATTTCCGGAAATGACGAAACATGTACAGTTTGTCAAACTGAACAAACTAGTAGTCTTTGGATTATCTCCATCCTGAATCGAACTCTTTCAGTCCTATCTACGGGATCGAAAACAATATGTTCAGCTCAATGGTTTCAAATCTACCGAATATAGTGCTTCTTCCGATGTTCCACAAGGTTCTAATCTGGGACCGTTGCTCTTCAATATATTCATTAATGATATTGCAGATGTTATAGATGTGTTTTCCTTTTATATGTCGATGATCTAAAACTATACTGCCTCGTTGAGAACATAGATGATTGTGTGAACCTCTCAGCAAACGTAGGACGGGTTGTAGAATGGTGTTATCGAAATAACTTGTCACTGAACCCGGATAAATGTAAGGTCATGTCCTACATTTAATAGGCATATCGATAATGTTGTAACCTCCTCCTGTCTTTTGTACGGATTGATTAGTAGTGATTTCAAAGAAACTTCGACCTTAGAAACTTTATTCTATGCTTCCATAAGATCAAAGTTAGAATACGCGTCAGTTGTGTGGAGCCCCTTTTATCAATATCTCATTGATAGAATATAAGCAATTCAACGACGATTTTTAAAATTGCTAAGCCTAAAAACCGATGGCATTTATCCTTCAAGAGGAACAACCCACTCTGAATTGATACAAAAGCATAACTTTTGCAGTCTCGAAAAAAGGCGTGAATATTATAGTGTTGCACTAACCAACATTACTGGAAAAGTTTAATATTTGCATTCCTAGAATCTGTTCCAGGCACCCGAGTACTTTCTATATAAAAACATCTTGCACAAATGTTCTGGAGAATTCTCCCATCCATACATGTGTAAAGTGACAAATTCTGTCAGCGATAATTTAGATATATTTAGTTGCAAATTGTCAAATTTAAAATTCCACTTCCTAAAATAATTGTTTTGTCACCTATAATAAATATAAAATGTGTAGTCTTTACAGTCACTTGTTTGTGATGTATTTATTATACTCTGTTATTTCCTGCTCTGTAATTGGGCTATGTCCTGTAGAGTGTTGTATTTCAAATGAATAAATAAATAAATGTAGGAAGAGCTTTCTAAATTCGATATGGTCCCACCCACTATATAGGCGTTCGTTAGGAGACGGTGAGAGACAGATAGTTCTCAAGTCTCTTTCAATCTGTACATTTTTGTAAGCGCATATTTAATGTATCTGTATATTCTGCTACTTGTTTTTATTACGAGGAGTGCGTTTTTGGAATAGGTGATTTTTTTAACTGTTTCGACATTTGGATGGCCGTATCAACGAAAAAAGAACATAGTGACGCATTTTCCCTTCAGATTCGTGGTCAGTAAACAATAAAACGCAAATTGAAACAAAAAATTGTTCCCATACTTCTTGTTTCTTTCACAATACATCAATCCTAGAACTCTCGGGAATTCTTTTTTCATCACTTACAACTGTCAGTTGTCAAAACGCGATACAGAACAAACGAGCAACATAAGTCTAGTTCTTTTTGGTGTTTATGGGTCTTCCAACAGGGACTTCCAAACTTTGACAATTGATAACGGCCATCTTGTTGAAGCTACATCCATCAAATTGGTTGTCATTTATTCAGTCTGTTTAGCCAAATAACCATGGACGGATATAGCATTCAACAACAAGTGCAAATGATAAAATTGTTTTATCAAAATAGTCGTTCTGTTCGGGCAACGTAGCGCGCTTCGCCGATTTTACGATCGCCATAATCGTCCTACCGAAAGGACGATTCGGGTGTCCCCTGGTTTAGGAAACGATCGACCAACACCCGTACGTCGACGAAACGCAAGATCTGCCGAAAACATTGCCGCTGCCTGAGATAGTATGAAAGAGAATCCAAGGCAGTCGACTTTCGATTTCGCATCGTTCACAAGAATTCAGCTTTTCGAAGACCACAACTTGGCAAATTTTGGGTCGTGACTTGGGTCTGCACCCTTACAAATTTCAACTGACTCCGGAACTGAAGGTAAACGACCATACACATCGACTTATTTCGCTGAATGGTCTCTGGAGCAGTTGGCAACTGACCCTAATATTCATCGAAAAATAAGGCCCATTTCTGGAGGAATGAGTAGGTAGGTAGGTCTAAAGTGAGTGGGTCTATTCGACCCTCCACTGCAACCCATAAGGGTTTATTGTGGCTCACACCTATTCACAGTCGGCCAAATAAACCCAACTTCTTAACGAAGCCGATTAGTTAGTATGGTGAGTGGTCTTTCAGGTCAGATGGTGAGAGTACGGATCTGCCGAACTCAAAGAACCTGATTCGGTCCCCAGCGGGGCAGGACACAACGTATATGCTCTACAGTTTCATCATTTTCCAGACAGAGGAGACACACACTGTCTTCCGACAGTTCAAGTTTCTGCATGTGAAAATTCATATGACAGTGATCTGTAAGAAGGCCTGTTAGACATCGTAGTTCATCCCTACTGTAGAGTAACAACTGTTTGGAATCAAGCTTCGAAGGGTGAATAAACGCCTTGGAGTGAGCCAATCCTGGAAGATTCTGCCAGAAGTCCATAACTCTTCTTGCCATCCAGGTGTTAAGTGTTTGTTTGGCAAAGCCCAAAGCGATGCCAATGACAGGTTCTGGTCCAATGAAGCCGCTTGCAGCACCCTCCTTTGCAAGAGAGTCAGCAGCTTCATTGCCTTCCAGGTCAGTATGGCCAGGAATCCAGACCAGAGACAATCTGTTTGGTCTTCCTATCGAGGAGAGTCTTTTTTGGCAGTTTGCTACCAATTTAGACGTTGCTCGGTGGGGGCCAAGAGCTTCCAACGCCGCTTGACTGTCCGAGAATATTTTTATTGACTTGTGAGTGAGGTTGAATTTATCCAATCTCTCCGCACACAGTTCAATAGCGTGAATTTCCGCTTGAAATACAGTCGCATAAGTTCCTAGGCAGGTAGATAACTCTGTTCTGGGTCTGCGACTGAAAACACCTGCCCCAGAACCGGAAAGTGTTTTTGATCCATCTGTGAACCAACAACTATCTGCTCTTAATATTTCCTTCTCCCGCAGGATCCAGTCCTCTCTACTCGGGAATAGTACTTTATAAGGCAGTTCGTACTTGACAGTTGAAGGCATAAAGACAGAGGTCATTTCCAGAATGCTGTGACTTCCAATGTCAACCAACAGTCTGTTGCACTCTGCATTGAATTGATTTGTGCAATTGACAATGTGCACAAGTCTGTATGCAGTCCATCTAGCCTCTCTTATAATAAATATTTGTTTTTCTGAAAACGTTTAGAGTGTGTGGAAGAGAGCAGTGGTTAAGGTTTTGCCAAAAAAAGTAATATTACTGAGTTTAGAGACTTGCGTGGAATCACTATTTTGCCAACATTATCAAAAGTTTTAGAAAAGGCAACGGAATTACAGTTAAGAGTGTATCTTGAGAGAAACTCTTTGGTGCCAAATATACAGTCTGGATTCAAAAAATTTCATAGTTGTACAACTGCAATCTTACATATTAGTGATGACATAATGAGACCAACAGATCAGGTTTAGTTCACGATATTGGTTCTTCTCGATTTCAGCAGAGCATTCGATACCTTGAATCATGAACTCCTACTAAATATATTACATTATATGGGGATATTTGATAACGACGTCAAACTTATGGGGTTATTTGCATAGCTGCGAACTTTGCCTTTTACTATAACTTTATATATGTAGTTAGAACTTAATATTGTGATTTTTTTTGTGGTTGTAGTAATGAAGACGTTTATATTAGTATTATTATTATTTAAGATAAAAAAAATAATCGACTTACATGTTACTTTGTTTTGCCGCCATATATAGTTGAGTGCTTACAGAACTCGACGAACAATTGGAACCTCCACACAAGTTTTTGTAAATGTCTGGATCGAAGTAGTCTATCGGTCCTTTCGTCACCCAATAAACTGGAACACCTATTCCCAGTAAGCTGTTCATGAACTGAAATTAGGGAACACGTAATAAGGACATTGTTATCGATCAATGAAATGAATAGTAATAAAAAATATGATTCGACTTCAAGAAAAAATTACCTCAAAATCATGAAAAAATATTTTTAAGAGTGTATTTTGCCTTTCATGAATCTACCCCCATATCTGTATTATTTACAATGCAATTTCAAACATACTTGGAACAGCTGTTTCAGCATGTTGGATAACATCAGTACCGGGCAGGCGGTCCTCGATTGAAGACAAAATGTGACCAAGCCGTCGTCTTGATTTCGTTCAGGTTGGAGCCTGGCTCCCTTACCCTTTCAACTGATAAGACAAAATGTGAAAAACCAAGAACAGTACTTGATAAAAATAACTGCATGAAATCACGCGAGACATAGGTGGAAACATCTATTGGTGTGACACCCAGGTTAGCTTGCCAAGTTTTGATGTCGGCGTTAGTGTATTGACCAATCAGCTGACAATTGCATCAGCAGAAATTTGGGAAATTTCATGGAATGTCATCGGAAAACGAATCAACATGTTTCTAGGAATGATATAGAATCAAGAAAGGTTAATGCAGTCAAGCTGCTGGAGAATATTTCCATTAAATTCAATAGATGAAGATAAGTACTACTCTGATCATTCCCAATTTGATTTCAATTTAAGAGTCACCAGTAGACAGCTGTTTGAGCCTGTTGGGCATCATCAGTACCGGACAGGCGGTCCTCGACATTGTCTTAAATCCTCGACATTTGTCTTCAATCGAGGACCGCCTGCTCGGTACTGATGAGTCCCAACAGGCTCAAACAGCTGTCTACCGGTGGCTCGTAATTTGAAATTCAAGAATGTTGAAAACGGATTTGCTCAAATGAAAATATATTTATTTTCTAGTAATTTTATATTTGACTCCATGTGGCAACAATTCTTCTTTGACAGCTTACTTTTTTTTTCTTACAAGCTTTGCTCTATTCGAAAAGAGGAATGTTCTGGTTGGAGGATGTAGGAATAGTTTCAATTCACTTTTTAGGAAGATCAGAACTTTCGAAAGAAACGTGGTATAATGTAATGGAAACCTTATGATAAAATATTGAACTCACCTCAAAATATTTGAGTACATGACTTCCTTGAGGCATCGACAATTTCTGATCTAGCCCAATTTCTATCCAAGAGCTAACTAGAATTGAAGCACACAGACTCAATGTGAAAAGCAACATTATGACGCATCTGACGGGATACCTGAAATGAATTATTGTGAATTTGATTTTTTTTCAATTTGTGTGTATTTATTTCAGTCAGCAGTCCATATAAAGTTTTTATTCGTGTGAAATGGCCTAAATTCGTTTAAAGTTTCAACTGAAAATTAGACAAAAGTGTTTTTATTCACTTCATTGAAGTTATTCACCAATAAAAACTACATATGTTGAACAGCCAACTGGTGAATTTTTAGAGAATAATGAAAAAGAGCCTGCAACTCGATTTAAACTGGCTTTTCGAGTAAATACGAGGTGAAAAAATTAAAAAGGGTGTATTGAACAAATGGTGTCACAATGATAATTCAATTCTAACGCATAGAAAAGTTTAGGAGGTTTTAAAGGTTCAATACACCACAATGTGCACAAGTCTATACGGGTATATCTTGACGAGTTAACGCAACATATATAAAGAAAATTGAGAGTAGGGCGATTCTGAAAGTTGGTAGGATGGATGAAGAACTAATGGAGAATTCAACTGAAATATTTTCGTTGAAGTGACGTTTCGGGTTTCACCGGAAGTGACGTCATCTTTGCTATTTTTAATGTCACACCCTGTATTTCACCTCATTTTTGATTTAGGGCTTATTTTCATAATAGAATTGAACCTTGACGAAACAAATGGGGGTTCCCATTTGAAAAAGTTGAGGTTTTCAATTTTTCTCATTCACTTATTGGACCCTAGTTTTTGCGCACCCTGTGGATTATTCAGTTGACATGAAAATGATGTGTGATCCGTTCAACCTTCAATCATCATGATTCACTAGCTGCATATTTAAAAAAATGTTGATTCACATAAAAATGACGTATGTTCGAGAGGTTGCATCTGTCACTTTTTCTAAAAAAACAAGAATGACTCGAAAACGGTTAGTTTTGGGTATAGGGTATGATGCATGAGTTGGAATCTAAATCATGGGAAGAATTCAAAAATGAGGTGAAATACAGGGTGTGACATTAAAAATAACAAAGATGACGTCACTTCCGGTGAAACCCGAAACGTCACCTCAACGAAAATATTTCAATTGAATTCTCCATTAGTTCTTCATCCATCCTATTTATTTTCAGAATCGCCCTACTCTCAGTTTTCTATATATCGATCCCGTTAACTCGTCAAAATATACCCTGTATAGACTTGTGCAGCATTCTGGAAATGATCTCTGAGTCTATGCATCCAACTGTCAACTACGAACTGCTTTATAAAGTACTGTTCCCGAGTAGGGAGGATTGTATCGTCCGGGAGAAGGAAATATTAAGAGCAGATAGTTTTTGGTTCACAGATGGATCAAAAACACTCTCCGGTTCTGGTGCAGATGTTTTCAGTCCAGACCCAGGAAAAGATATCAATCTAGCCCCTCTCTTCAGAAAAATGTGGAGAGGAGGTAGATCACCTGCTAAAGTGGACCCAGTTTTTTGTTAAGAGTAATTTTTGAAATATAAAATGTTTTTTGTAACCATTTGATGAAAAAACATTGGAGTCAAATCTTACTTCATTATGAATGGTGTGTAGTAATTGATCCAAAACTTCTGCAACATGCCGGGTACGTTGTCTTTTTGAGGGTTACCGGATTTTATACAGCAAAACAAATCCATTCGGTTCTTCTGCAAAAAATAACTTATCAATCAGAAATTTTGCGGACCAAATGAATCGAACATTTATCATGGAGAATTCCAGACAAAGGTGCTTCGTTTTTCAACAAGAAATAAATCAATGAAACTTCCCAGAAATAAGTAAAATAAGTAGATCTGAAAGGAAAATTCACAACTGATAGTACTAATGAAACAATTGAAGACGGGAAAATGAATCCATTTGTATCTGCACTGAAAACTGCATTGAGTGTTTTCAAACTTCGTTGAACTTAATTTTCCGAATGAATAGTTCTAAAGATGAAATTTCACATAAAAAGGTTAATTCATACCTGGTGCCTCTCCACGTCCAATGACAAGAGAGCAACGAATGCTGTTATTTGGAATATGAAATTGAATAAAACGGCTATCGTGGCAAATAATGCGAATGTATGCACAGCTGGCATGGTAGACAGGCAACCTGAAATATGAAAATGTTATGATTTTCGTTCTCATTCATACCTTCAAGACAGTACATAAAAATGATATTTTTGGATAATGTGATAGTTATACTTCCAGCGATTGTAAACAAAATACCATGTAATTTTTAGAAATATTCTCTATAGTCTGTAAGCCCATGCTAAATTTTATAGCCCGGGCATGAAATATGAGTTTCAGTTTTATGCCGTCAGTTATAAGCAGTGCACATAAAAATCTTAGAATAGTGAAAACAATAACCCAAGTGAAGCGGTTATTCGGAAAAAGTTCCTCTACGGCTTTTATGAATTAAGATACTAGTTATGACTGGGATCTTTCCTGACCAAAAGTCATACAAAAAATAAATATGGGCGCTTGATTTACAAAAAATATGGCACAAAGCGCCTACGCTTTCTTCACAATAATACTAGTATTTTTCATTCGTTATTGTTTTGAGCTTGGAAGCTTGGCATTACAACTGACCGCCTTGGATATCCTCGTTAATTTTTTGATAGGTATTCGAGTATTATTTTCTCTATCAATTAAAAGATGACGTCTTCGTAAGGGAAGAGAGTAGTATATCTAAAGGAGTTCCAGCTCAAAATCCCATGCTTTTTCTAATGGCGCTTCATTCTGGCGATTTTACGACCTTCGATCTTCAAAGCCCACTTCAAGGTCACACGTGCCTCTTGCCCCATTCTAGGTCACACGTCTCTTTTTGAAACACTTACCAACGATGAAACACGTATTACCTTGAAGTGGATAAGAGACACGTATGACCTTGAAGTGGGCTTTGAAGGTCGATGGTCGTAAAATCGTCAGAATGAAGCGCCATAAGTAAAAACATAGGATTTTGAGCTGGAACTTCCCTAGCTATATTACTGGAGAAGCCATCGCCCTTACTTACACAGGCTTGCCCTCTAAGGATAGTTGCAGTGGAAGCTGCAGTGGAAGACAGAGGAAGAATCTTGTCAGCGGTCGATGTCAAAACTTGGCATTGTAACTGAACACCTTGGGGAGCCTCGTTTATCTCTGATATTCGATGATTGGGTTTTCGGTCGATTCCACAATAGGCGACTTCGTGAGGGAAGGAGCCAGGGCCATTATTTTCGCGGGTTTTTTTAAAGGATAGTTGAGTCCAGTGAAGCATTTGTTGTTCAGCTTAGAACCACTGACAAGACTTATGGCGTGTGAAGACAGCGCCGTCTGGTATTGAATCATAAATGCATTGCTTTTGATTTTCAACAACCAAATTATACAGCTTAACAAATTTACTGGACTTTAATTCATTGTTCGGAACTAAGATGAGTATTTTTGTCTACCTGACAAAATATTCATGTTTACCTTATAAACAAAATATTATCAAAGAATGTGAATTTTCTCGGGAGAAGATAACTAAGGCGAAGCTATTTTACGGGTTTGTTAGCCGTGGTCTGCAGGTTTCTTGAGCCTGACGTTTTTTCCATTACACAGTGTTCTTATCCTACTCTCAGTTAGTAGTATATCAATACTACAATTCTGATTGTCAGATAAACAGTTATTATGTTTCACTAGAATTATAATTTATAATATGCTGATTGATTCGGCCGTTACTTGATGAAGATTTATAATAATTTCATGAGCTACAACCAAATCACAACAGTGATTTGAAGAAGCCACTCTGTTAGCGAAACATGTCGTGGTATATTTTTCAAATAAAGTTTATGAAGTTCAAATTGTGAGTTGTAGTTTATGAAATTGATTTATAATAGTATGTACGAGAAGTTGATCATTAATTTTGCCAGAAAATAAAAAAAAACTATCTATGAAAGAAAATAACTAATTCAGTGAAAATGGAACATTTTAGGAGTTGCTCTAGTTCTTTCGAATATCAATTAGTTTTCTCATTGTTATGGTTTTATATTCGTACTTTTTGTGGAAGGTGCGATTTGGAATACAAACTTCTATAAAAATGGAAAAAAATATAATTTTTGGATCTATACGTCGAGTCGATACTGTTCCTTCCGGGACCTTTTGACTATTCTAATGGTGTAGATTAGGATGAGAAGAGCAAGCATATTTTCAAAAGAAAAATTCGCGAAAGTTTCGCTAACCCATCTTTAAGAGTTTGTGCTGATTTTTGCCGATATTTTGTTATACGTTACTCCGGCACACAAATGATGCAGAATGCTTTCGTCTGGGGTTTTTACTTTTTTTTTTCTGTGTAACATTTCACAATCACCAAAAATTACCAAAGTTAAATTAATAGTGAATTTGCTGAAGTTAAATGAAGAGCAAATTGAAAAGTACACCCTGAGAAGTTACTAGGTAATATAAACCTCTGAAGAGTCAAATTACCCAAATAATTGTATTCATACATTTTGAAGACTCACTTTTTTAATAATCCATGAAAAAAATTTAATATTTTAGTTTTCTTCACACCGATGTTTCAGAAATTGATCCTATTTATTTTTGAATTGACCAATTCAGCCCTTCAGTGGTTTATATTACGCAGTTACTTTCAGAGATAAACTTTTTTTAGTTTTCCGTTCATTGCACTTCAGCAGATTATCTGTTGATTCAGTTTTGTTATTTTTCAATTGTGGAAGATTAAACAACCAAAAAAAGGAACATTGAATTCTCCACAAAAAATTCTTTAAAGAAATATACTTCCTTCTACATACTCATACTCCGTATTTCTGCAATATTAATAATTATCATTACTATTATTATTCGATATGCCAACTTATTATGGAAGGTGAAATATAAGAAAATATCAAGAGTTTTTGATAGATCATGGTTACTTCCCAATACTCCTTCATTGTAAAATGAAAAAAAATGACTTACTTATTGCAAAACAAAGTATTTCTGAAATACTCGTCAACACTAAACTAGGTCCCACTTTCTTCATTGTTCGTCCAATACTTTCTGTTATATCTTTATTGTTGTTTCTGGAAAAAAGAAAATGGATATAACTAAATTTTCCATGAAAACATTATTCTAAATGTACTGTAGAATATAGGTATCAGAGGTTTAGTTCGTAAATGTTAATGGATTAGTTGAAATAAATAATATTATTAAAATTCAACTGTAATTAATTTTGATATAAATCAGATAATTTGATGTGATAAATATGTAATGTCATCCGGATTGGTGATGAAGGAGCAATAAGACAAACGTCTTATTCCGAAACATCGAGGTAGGGCATTGAGGATGACAGTATTCCATGTAAGTGAAATTCTTTTTCATATACTTTATTGTGTAGTGATCTTGTGAATGATATCTGATTGAATTCTACTAGGAAAGATTGTTTTTATATCGGTTGGTAGCCGGGCGGTTCGACGTTGATGCTTTGTCCACTCAATCGGCCGATGTGTAAGACGATGGTTCAAGCCGCAGGCTGAACGCTCGATTTTCACTTGCTATCATTCAACCCGCATTAGCAATCTCACATTAAAAGGTAAGACCTCGTTAGTTCTTAGCTGGAACCAGTTCTGAGAATTGTTGTTTATATAAAAGTAGTTGTTTCGAAAGTACTTTTCCTTTCGTATAATTCAATGTTTATATGAAAGAAGTTGTTTCGAAAGATCTTTTTCTTCTATTTTGTATCTGAAAGTAACGTCTATGCTTCTTCTTTGATCTTCACATCTTTGTAAAATGTTAATTTCGAAATTATTGCTTTCTTTTTTTCTTTATAAGTCTCCCACATTTTTTATAATTCAATGTTGTACTTCTTTTAAATTTATACGTATTTCTAATTGAAGTTTGTCGCGAGGAGAAGGTACTGATTATTCCTACCAAACTTGCCAAAATATGTAATATTTATTTTGTTTGCAATTTGTACGACGGAATTTCATCAAAGCTGTAGATTGAATATTGGATTAAGTACTATTCTGATCAGAATTTATTTCATTAGTTTCAATACATTAGCTTATTATGTTTAAAAATTATGTTTGTTTTCACAAAAATGTTTCACTACTACTTTATTTCATACATTTCATTTTGTAGAGCGTAACCCATGTATTTCTTCTAACGCATGAATACAAGGTCTTTTGAATCTAAAGAAATGTGTGAAGATTCCTGCACTGACGCCTGTCGGATATAATCCAACGCCTTTCGTGGTATTAGCCATGAGAGTAGTTGTTTTCTGATAGGCGTCAGTCTATTCAACCTACTGTGTAGGTATATTCGAGACTGGCTTGAAAGTATAAAGTTCATTTCTTTAGATTAGTGAACTGCCAGTCTTCAAGCATAACCCACTGAATAACAAGAAAGATTTTCTTTCTTATTCAGAGGAATCGGGCAAATCACGGATATGCAGTTGGCTAGATGGAGTGGCATTTTGTTGTTCCTTCCAACTTAGGAAGGAGAGTGAAATACTCTGAAAGAATTCCGATTTTCAATTATGGAATATCATTGACTTTAGGTCGATGATGACACTATCTTGTATTGATGAGTGGCTAATGAGCCCGAAACCGGTATGCAAGTGTGCCCGTTTCAAAATTGAAGGTCGACTCTTTCAGTTGTATTGCCAATTGCAGATGCAGAAAATTTTCTGTGAAGATTCCTGCACTGACGCCTGTCGGATATAATCCAACGCCCTTTGTGGTATTAGCCAGGGGAGTAGTTGTTTTCTGATAGGCGTCAGTTCATTCAACCTACTGTGTAGGAATATTCGAGACTGGCTTGAACGTTTAAAGTTAATTTCTTTAGTTTTGTTTACTGACAGTCTCCAAGCATAGCCTACTGACCAATAAGAAAAAATAAACAAAATCTTTTTCCTGTAACTTGGTTGATTTTGATTAATTTAGATTTATATCACTTCGTATATCATATCCCGTATCGTACCATATCTCGTTTGATCACCTTATTGTATGAGTTATTATATAAATTATAATTTGCCATTTTGCGACGACCACCTCATTGGATTTGGAATGTTACTTGTCTTATAATATTTTGCTTATTGTTAAATCATCTGAAAATGGAACGAACTTTCAACGGGTGACGATCAACTGTATTGCCGAACATACGCCAAACTAACGGATATTATAAGAAAACAAGTATAGCTGAGGCACCAGTCAATCTAATAACACTGATGATCTTCAAAGATGATTCAACCTCTGACGGAAGCACCAAACTTATTCGTAGGTTCGTAATAGATGAACACTTCAATCTAGCAGATCAGTATTATAATATTCATGCATTCATTATTCACTGTGATTCTGGCGTTGAATCTGGTCATTATTACATATTGGTCAAAGACGAAACTGACTAGTTTAAGTTTGATGATAGTCGTGTCACTAAGTGTTCTGGCGATGTCTTGAATTTATTGGAGCCTCTGGAGATACCCTACATTTTGTTTAATGAAAGAGAGGACATTGGCAGATAAAGATCTTCAGATAATGTGATGCTGAAGTTTTTTCCGGGCTTTCCTGCAGCTGAAAAAGCAAATGCGCCACTGGAATCAATGAAGTCACCCCTGAGCGCCAATAAATTTTTGTTAATTCATAATTTCATGATTTGTATTACTTTCTTCTTCAATATATATTACTTCGATATTTATTACTCATCAAATCCTGTCTTTCGTGATTCATAGCACAAGGGTTACTAGAGCCATTTTATCACGTCCAAATTTTGAAATTAAAATGGTGACATTCAATTGATCGACTAACATAACAATAACAAAAAATCTACGTAAAATTTCAGATTAATAGATTCAGATTTGAAGATTTGTCTCAAACTAGCTAACTGACTAAGAGAGAATCAAATGAGTATATTGAACAATTCACTTTGATCAACTATCATTATGGTTTCAATATCATGAGTTATCAATTTTTAGAAATCTTGGTATATATTTACTATACAAAGTTCTAGATCAAACTTTTGGCTTTATAAATGAACATTTTTCGTGGATACTACATTTTGAAACATTTAGAATAAATATATCTTGAATTATAGAAATTTCTTTCGAAATAAGAACATTTTGTTACCGTTGAAATATCTTGAAATGATTTACTCTTCAAACAGTCAATACTTGATATCAGTATGTCGAATAGTAATGAATTTATTATTCACTTCAAGACTTCGAAATAGAATTTTTAAATATATATAATATTACATTCATTGCTGCTCAAAAATTAATTATAATATAATTGTACAAAAAATAAACTTTGTATTTGACCTGAAATTGGCTTTTCCAGAAGCATAGAATTGACTTGCATACAGTGTGTCAATTTGAAAACTTCCCACCCTCAATATCTCCCTTCCAGTACATAATATGAAAAAATGGTCAGACAGGTCAACTTTATTTGCAAGGGGGACACTCTGAATGAATATTTTCAACCCTCGGGGTTCAACCCCCTAGGAGGGGTGGATGTTACCCTCAGAATTTCAAATGGAAAGGGGGGTCAAGTGGCACATCATTTTGAAGGGCATTCAATTC